CTCAGCCGCGTCTTCCCTGGCGGCGCGCCCTCCCCTTCGGCCTTGGCCCTAGCACTGCCAAAGCGATGTTTGGAGGGTGTGGGTGGGTGTGGGTGTGCGTGTGAGTATGCGTGTGCGTGCGTGCACATCATGTTGCAATCTGAACATTGGCCTTTGCAACAATACGTCTGCAGTGCTGCAGCATGTGGAACCGAATGCTTCAAGCAGGTTTGCAGTCTGAACATTGGCGTGCAACATGTCTTCTGCAGCATGTCTGCATTGTTGTTTTGAGTATGGAGCACATGCGTCATGAGCATACCTTGCTGAACCATGGAGTGCATTTCGCAGCATCTCAAACCCTAGATCAACAATAGCTTCATAGGAAGCTACATTTCATTCTCTTCTGCCTCCTCACCGTGCGTTTGCTCCTCTACCTCTGCGTTCACTTCCTCTATGTCCATGAACCCATCAACGGTGAAAGATGAAAACATTCAACTATGCAATAAGTGTGACACAGTGCATGCGTGCTTGTGCGTGCGGGCGTGTGTGTGTGTGTGTGTGTGTGTGTGTGTTTCTTTGTGTGTCTCTGTGTGTCTCTGTGTGTGCATGTGTGTGTGTGTGTGTTGTGGCTGGGTGCCTTGCGTTCACGCGCTAGCACAACAGCCGCTCGCTGAGGCTTTGACACAAAAGGTCGCAGGCACGACTTCTCAGCTGAAGGGTTGTGATTTTTACACTTGGTCCGCAAGGTCAGATTGCTGTTATGCGTGCCTGAACTGGGCCCTCGGGACGCACAGTTGTTTCTCGGACCAATGGTCAAAAGGCATATACGATTAGAGAGTTGGGGCTTGCGGTGGGAAAGCACAGGCGAGCGCCAGCTGCAGATCCCCGAGGTGCGGAGCCGAATCTGAAAAACTAATGCTCGTAGAGTTGTTAGGTCGATTCTTGTTACTAATTTTTACTGGTAGTAGTGCTTGGCGGCTTGGAGAGGGTTCTTCTAGCTCCCACACTCCATTCGTTTAGAAACGTTTCTTGTCTGAGTCCTTTGCCGCCACATTCCGGGATTCTGAGCCACCAACTCCACGGGCGAAGGCCCCTAATCCATGGGTTACAGTCCGAAAGCCGTGTTGCAAACAGACACTGCCAGTCACTGGCTTGGGGCTTGGTTCAGGTCTTAAGGCGTTTGAGGGCTCAGGATTCGCTATCCTCAGCCGATGCGCAGGAGGTGGAATATCTTCCCCCACTCCGCGTGGCACCTCCCCGACCTAGGCAGATCAGGGCTTCAGGGCTTAACTTCTCAGGTCTTCATGATCTAAACCCTAAGCTAAAAACCCCAAACCCAGAGTTTGCTTTGGGAGCAAGTGCGGGCTCAGCCTGGCAGTCTTGCTGTGCTTGATCTTTGGTAGCTTGGCCTCGTGATGCACATATCCAAATTCACAACGTAGGACGAAGTTAAGGTCTGCGCACTATGACTTGTCAGCGGGCTTTCAGTAGCTCCAAAGACATGTGAGCCCGGTTGGTGTCATATTCTTGATTGGCAGTTTGGCACACCTCTAAAACGGCTGGAAAACTCGAGGGCTGCGATACATTCCTCACATCTCCATATCCTAAGCCCTGGTGCAACCAAGCCGCCCCAAACACACTCGGAGATCTCTATACCAGATACTTTGTGGTTTAGGGTTTAGGGTTTTAACGGGAGAACCGGACCAGAGCGCAAAGCATTTGTGCAAAGTAGGGGCTGCAGTGGCAGGTCTTGAGCGGGCCGGAATCGACTGGAACGTAAAACGGCCCCAAGAGGGTCCAAACCCTAAACCCGAAACCCTAAACCCTAAACCCTAAACCCTCCAGCGAGATGCCCCCGGAAGTCGCAAAAACCTCTTGCTTTGCAGGGTCCCCGGTGGCACCGAGTTCTATGGCGCGGTGCCAAAGCACAGCGCGACTTTTGCGTGGTCCGAGCTCTGTGCGACGCTGGGGCCTCTGATGTGAATTCGCGGGTCCATTATGGTCCATTATGGTCCATTGCTTCAAAGAACTGAGTTCCGGTTGCTTCTGTGGGCCCATGGCTAGCTGAGACTGACAGCTTAGTTTGAGCATGTTGCAAATCGGCTTTGCAGCTTGCTACTCGGATGAGCGACAAACATGGAAGCCTGAGTCTGAAACCTAGACAGCAAACAGTCCTCGACGCCAGGGAAGGCGTAGAGGGCTTCGTATTGTCCGACCTGAAGCAAGTTCGTCGTCCCCCGGTCTTACTGTCGGCTTCCGTCCAAGGCAGTACACGTACAGTTACGTTGGTGTGTTGCAACAGTGCCTACAAAGCTTTGCTGATGGCTCTTACTCGAAAAATCGGTGTTCAACATGCGGGAAGCAAGAGAGTGCAGCACCTTGGCTGCTTCTTGTGTTTGCGGCTTGGGCGCTCCCATCTTTTTCACCCCCTGAACCATATGGTACGCTGTAACGGAGCTTGAGGGGCTCCTGTGGGTTAGCGCAGCAAGTGCACTCCTAGAATTCGGGCAAGGTTTATGCCTGGTCATTTCGGGGCTCGGCAAGCCATGAAACTTCGAGGCCGTCGCCTGAGGATGCTCTCGCTCCAGTGCCACAAATCCCGATGAAGACATGGTGCGCCAGCCGTTCACCTTGTACCCTTAGGGCCTCAGGGGGTTGAGCCAGGCCAGGCTATGTTATGTGATTTCTCGCGACGCTGCCTGTAGTTTGAGCATGTAGAGTATTAGGCTGCAGGATTACGCTCGCTGACGGCTGACTGACGAGTCTATCTATCAAGCTTGATTTGCCCTGATCCTCGTACCCACCCCTTGTTGCATTAAAGCCACTCTTCGTAGACAGCTTTTGTGAAAGTCGCTGCACCACAGTGGGTACTGCAGCCCTCCGGAAGGTACAACTCGTACGTGTACGTTCCCGAACGGAGCCAAGAGGATGGGACTGCCGAACTGCCGTTGCATCTGCTGGCGACCGTACTTTTAGCTTTGTGGCAACAGGGCTAAATCTCAACCTCGTGGGAGCCGTGCCAATGGTGGTTTTTTTTGACAGATCGTCAGCTTCGACTCGAATGCACAAGGTACCACGCCATCCTGAAAGCCCGGGTATTTATATCGTTGCGCCGCCAGCGTTTCTTTTGGGACCTCGAAGCTAGAGTTATCAGGGGCCCTTCCTTTGAAAGTTTGCCGGCAAGAACGCATCAAGAGAAGTCCTTGAAAGCATCTAGGCTGAACATCCCCTAGATCTTCACACATTCTCTCTGGGGGCTTCTTTCGGCGCCCCCTACAACGCCATCCTCAAGTCTGCCAGGAAGTCCCAAGGCAGCTCTCAATGCGAACATCCTCGAAGTTTGGCTCCTCCCCTCTGTGGTTTTGTGAGTACAAACCTCGCAGAAACGCCTGAAGAGGGGCCCTCAAGAAATCTTCAGGGTGGTGGGGGGTTACAGTCTTAAAGTTAGCTCCTTGAAGGTTTTTAGGTGTCTGGTCTCTCAGAAGTGCCTGTGGAGTCGCAAGGCGGTCCCTAAATACTGCAGATGGCATGGGAGGGTCTATCGGTCCTTGTGGTCGCCAGAGCACCATTAGGTTTCCAGGTCTGGGGTTTGCTGCTTAGAACGCCACGACCTGTACCGATCCCCTACCAACGACCCCACAAAGAAAATGCGCACGCTGTGGGAGGAGGGTTAGGTGGTCCCTAAACCCCAAACCCCAAACCCCAAACCCCAAACCCCAAACCCTAAACCCCAAACCCCAAACCCCAAACCCCAAACCCCAAACCCCAAACCCTAAACCCTAAACCCTAAACCCTGAGCCTCGCGGCTTCGCCGCAACACAGCGAGCGCAGCTGCATGCAGTCTTCATGCCTGACCAAAGATCAAAAGCCCTTTGGGGGGATTTGGGGGGCTATTTCAGGGTTCCCCTATGTTCGTAAACCCCCAATTTGCATCGACCTCCGATCTAGAGCCTCTCAAGTGGGTCACGAACGCAGGATCGCCAGTATCTGCAGCGCTTCACACGTGGCCCAAACGGCGAGTGGATCGACGTAGTCAAGGCCGATGCAGCTGCAATAAATTAGCTGTTCAACATTATAAGGTCCTGTATGGTGCAAATACTAGAAATGATCTAAATTATTCCTTCTTTTTGAAAGCACGCGAGAGTTGCACAGCGAAGAATGCCTTCGCAAATTGGCGGCCCCAACGCAAGAAACGTAGGACGCATCAAGTGACCTGCACAGTGCTCATCGCAATGCGCTTTTCTAGCGCTGGGCCATTGTGCCATTTCTTACAACCTTTACAACTCGCAACAGCAGTTCGGCACCTTTAAGACTTGTTAAGCATGCACCGGGCCCGGATAGAGGTGTTTGTTAGCGTTTAAGTTTCGCGCAAAATCGTTTCTTTTTTTGCAAATTGACATCTGTCATTCTGAACGCAAAATTAGAACGACTTATCTACTACAAACGCATGAGCTCAGGGCCAATCGGCATACCTCCTGTTGTATAGAGTTAAACCGTGACAGCAAAATAAGCACACATCACAGCAAGCAACAAGTGAGGTGTCTCTTCAAGGAAAGTTAGGGGAACCCACACACCTTGCCCTCTCCCATGCCTTCCACACATTGACAGTTTTCGCGAGCAAACGGGCTGTATGCAGAACCCTAAACCCTAAACCCTAAACCCTAAACCCTAAACCCTAAACCCTAAACCCTAAACCCTACGGCATGTAAGATGCATTGTTTTTTTTCTCCAAGCGCCCTTCTTGGAAGGAAACACCACTCCCGAGGCCATCAAAAATCGTGACTCAAGAGGCCTCATAAAGCGGAATCCGACGTTTTCCCAAAGAGTGACACTAGCCTTGGTAGGCCCTTGGAATTTTTCATATTTTCCCTTATTGGGTTCAAATATATAAATACAGTTATTTATAGACAAATGATAGTTTGAAAACCGTGAAAATTTTGAAAATTTTGGCCATCCGATTAGCTCTCAGAAAATGTCTGCGCCTAACTTTGGACCGCAAGGCTCGCAGACTCGTCGATGCGATGGAAGAGCGGCGACAGCGGCAGTTCCAGTGCTGCACATGGGGGGTTTACGAGAAGAAGGAGGATCCCCAATATAGATTCTATGGAGTTTAGGGTTCAGGGTTTAGGGGTTTACGATAATAAGGAGGACCCCTAATATAGACCCCCAAATAGTAGCATTCCCTTGTAGTTAAGGACCCCCAAATAGTAGGATTCCCTTATAACAAGGACCCCAAAAAGGTACCCCGAATTTCGAAACACCCCCCAGATCTTTGTCGAAGTCTACGAAGTACTGGCAAATGTCCAGCTCTCTTTAAAGGGGCCTGAGGTCGTGTTATCAGCCCCGGAAGCCCCAAGGCCACAAGCCAACATAGGAAGTTCACTGCTGGCCGAGGATGCGAGAGTACCTCGAACGGGCGAGGGCCTTATCCGGAGATTTTTTGGTTTAGGGGTTTAGGGTTTAGGGTTCCGAAACCCACCAACTCCAACATGGCCTGTGTGGTTTGACTTGGCTTCTGGTTCTTGCATTACACAGGCTTGCTGATCTGGCAGTCACAGAAGATCCCTCATCAGGGTCGGTCTTTTAGCACATGCAAATCACCACAATCACTCAAGTGGAACCCCCCCCCCCCCAGCAAAAAAGAAGAACATGAATGGAAGTGCAGAGCTAGTGCTTAATCTTGGCTGCTCCCATGGCCCCTGCAAAGCTGCTCAGGACATGGTCATCGCCGGCATGCGTTCGATGGGCTCCGGGGCCCTGCATGCGGGGATGGGCGCACTGGAGCTCGGGCTGCTCGGCTCCCGAGGTAACCACTAGTTGCTCAAGAACCCCCCAAAAAATGAAAAATATTAATATAGACAATATAGGGGTGATTATTTTATATTTTGGGCATCTGAAGCAAATAGTAGGTAAGGGGGAGGATCTTGGCACCCGGCCTGACTCCCCTGAGTGCTTTGAACCCCCCCCAAAAATAAACCGAACATCTGCCTTATCGGAGCACCCCGAAAAGGGCCCACCCTAAACCCTAAACCCCCAAGACTTCTTTCACACCAGGCTCAGTGGCCTGGAGGCTGGAATGGGTGCGCTGGAAGCAGGCTTTGGCGCCCTGGACACTTGGCTGAGATGCGCAAGGGTTTAGGGTTTAGGGTTTAGGGTTTAGGGTTTAGGGTTTAGGGTTTAGGGTTTAGGGTTTAGGGTTTAGGGTTTAGGGTTTAGGGTTTAGGGTTTAGGTTGAGTTCGGGGGGTAGGGGAGAAACTTGGACGTCTCTGTACAGCATGATGGCAAGTGGAACCCCAAGGAAGGGAGGCCGGGCAACCAGCCCTTGGGGCGGACGGGCTTGCAAGCGGGAGATGGCAGCGACATCGGAGCCACGGCTTGTTAGTAGGGGTCGGAATAGTTACGAAGAGTATTCCCTAAGAGGTCCCTTTACAGATATACTAGAATTACTCCCAAAACCCTATTCTAGGTATTCAAGCCCCTAGAGAAGGGATCTTGGGGTCGGGGTGCCGATCTCGTACCTTTGAGCGCGAAGGGGCATTTCTTGCATGCGGTTTGCATGGTTTTGTCAAGTCAGCTCGGTGCTCACTATCTTCCATTAAGACGCCTGGAAACAGATGCTCTGAGGCCAACGAGGAAGTTGTCAGGGATCATGCGGATGGCAGTCAGTGAAGGAATGACAGTCAGGAAGAAAAAGACCTTGTTCATTTATAGGCTCTCGTAGGATCTACGTTGGGCTTAGAAGGGGGTCGGCTTTATCATTTGAGCTTAGCGCACTTTAGGGTGCATGCCGGACGGCAAAAAGCGTGCCCGTGCATGCGAGGACCGGTGTGGCACGAGCATGCGCATGTAGCAGTTCTAGGTACCTTTCTCTCGGTGGCTCTCTGAGGGTCGATGCTTGCCCCCTAAACCCGCTCTCTTCAGCTGGGCTAGCTTCATTGAAAGAATCTCAGGCCATCAAGGGCAAAACATCGATGTGAAGCCATGTGAACCCTTTCCAAACGCGTTATGCGGGCATTGTGTTTGCAAATGGGGAGGCAGGCTGTCCCCCCCCCAACCCTCCCCCTTCCCCCCTCGCTCTTTTATTTTAAGGGACGTCGTGCCATCAAGTGCTTGCAGGGGCCGCCAGACCTAAGAAAACAAGTTCCACCCACATGTCGGGCCTTGCATCCGGCCCTGTGTCGCCCAGGCCACGGCATCCATCAAACCCGGTACACGGATGCGTGCGCCAAGCGCCGGGGTTGTGGCACAGCTCACTTTTGAGCGTTTGCATGATGCGAAGTTGCCCTGTCGACCATCTGCATTGCACTGAAAGCAGAATGGACATCGCTGTACTTTTGGGGGCACTCCTGAGACTCTCACGAGGTACTCCGGTCAGCAGCTCATTGCTTGCAAGCCGCGCGCTCAGGCCGACAAGAGAGCCTTTGATTCTCCAGTTGCAAGAGACAGCTAAAGCTTGTTCTTCTCTGGTGACAGTCGAGTTTCATGTCGTTTTGACTTGTGGAACAACCGAGGGGCAAGCTGCAAACGCGCGAGGAGATCTTTCAAGAGCTTGGGCCCAAGACGGTGCAAGGGGTTTGCTTAAGTGGAGGAAAAGGGTTACATTACACAGTGTACAGTACAGAAAATTCACCGTGGGACTGTCTCAAAGTACGAAAGTCAGAGATCCTAAGGAGAGCTACGTTTGGAGCTTCGCGCATTCTGGGGTCAAAGCTCAGTAGTTAGAGTATAGTACAACAATATAATCATGATATCGTAATACAGTAGTATAATGATATCTTAATAGACTCATATAACAGCATAAGAGTGTATGAAATCGTGGTTTTGGGACTGAGACTTAGCTTTAGCCCCGTTCCTGAGTGCCCGCGGCAGGTATCAGATTCGCGGACAGGCCGATCTGCCATCGTGTGGCCGAACGCCAGGGCATGACATGGTCTGGATTCTAGCTTTGCTGCAGTGTGCTGGGGTTTAGGGTTTAGGGTTAGGGTTTAGGGTTTAGGGTTTAGGGTTTAGGGTTGAGGGTTTAGGGTTTAGGGTTTAGGGGTTTAGGGCACCAAGCAGCTTGCATGGAATTCACTTCTATGATGCAGCACTTACGCCTGCATCACGACACCATGTGCTGCAGCGGCAGTAGCACCAGCTCTTCGCCCTGGTGCTGGCCGCAGGCAGTTCCTGATGACGAGCCATTCTTCGACTTTGACAACCTCCGGTTTTCGTGGCCCTTTGCGAGGACGGGCTTTAGGATCAGGCTAGGTATGGCAGGAACACCAACTCCATCAGCAACCCCAGCAGCAACAGCAACATCAGCAATAGCCCAGCCGCACAAGCACGAGGAACTGAACAGTCCACAAGATGATGTCCTTTTACTGCGTGGTCTTCCGTTGCAGGCAGGAGAAAAACAAGCCGGTGTCCCAACACACGTCCGGGGCCTTGTGGGAAGCTGCAGGGTCGAAACTTCATGGAACCACGCAGCATGTGAGTTTCTCATTCAGTTCTTGAAACATGCTTGATGAACCTTTTCTGTACCTCACCACCTTGAAGGGCCGCAGCAGTGTTCCGACGCTGCAGTCCTACGGCTCATCCTTTAACACCAACTGAAGAGCAGGGCGTATAGGGCTTGAGTCAGACGATCCGACATGCATAGCTGGGTCTCATGGGATGTGCGGTCGCTCTTCAGGTATGACTGGTTCGACCGGCGCAACATGTACATCCCGCGAGACTCCAGGCAAAAGGAGAAGTGCTGCACTCCTCAGCTCTCAGCCTTGAAACGTCCTGGAGCCCTGAAAGCCTCGGATTCCTGCGCAGGTGCAAGGCTATTTCGGGTGTGAATGGTTTCCGTGGGCTGGTGTTATTGGACTTCAAGGTTGGGAAGGTTTAGGTTTTTAAGGATAAAGTTCAGAGTGTAAGATCATGAGTTGTTGCGTGCTGATACCCTCCTGGCTTCTCCGCCTCATTCGGCCAGTTGTGAAATCGTGGAAATGCCCAGCGTGTACCTGGACAGAGAGGAGCTGAACAGGCCAGGGAGAAGTGAGCCCAAACTCGCCGGGTTTGGGAAGCCTAGGCCTAAGTGGCAAGGATCTTTACGCCACATGGTTCCACTGTGCATTGTACCCACCCTCGGTGTGGGTTGTTGCCGCGCGCAGAGAGTCCCGCCAAGTGCCTCTGGAGTGCCCACCCTCAGAAGCCGAGCCTCCCTGGAGTGGCCATCAAATCAAAGTCCCCACAGAGAATCCCGCCCGAGCATCACCCCCGGCGTCCCATAGAATCCCTGGAGTGTCCAATCCTGCAGAGTATCCCTGGAGGCAACCGCGACAGAATCTTGTAGCGAAGTTTCCCGCATTTCCTGTCCGAAAAGGGTCCCACACTGGTTTTGGGGGATGGGGATGGTCGAAGTAAATAGCTTTTGCTATTTTCTGTAGTTCTCTGTGGATGTGCACTCCTCACCCCCTCTGCGGTTTTCACCCTGAATCGAGACGGGGTGCCCCCGCATGCATAAAATGGAGAGCTCCAACAAACTCCCCCACACAGCCATACAGACAGTGGATCTTCACTCCATCGAGGGTGAAAATTGTTTTCACGTCAGCCCCACGACAGCAAGTCAACTCAAGAACCGAAAGGGCACCACACGCACAGACGACTGAAACTACGATCGGAAGGGTGGGGGAGGGGGGGGGTTACACGCTTTTCAACCAGAACGCCCGCTTTACAAACCAAAACGCCCATTTCACAACTCGGTATCCTGCCCACAACGCCCACTGCCCAACCCTGAAATATGTTACATGTATCAGCTAGGGTTGGCCACCAACCAGTTTGGTGCTCTAGAAGCTTCATGAACAGTTGAAGATCCGAAACATGTGCGTTCTCAGTTCAGCCCGCATCTTTCATCTGTTTACTGTCTTGAATTTCGAAAGTTGCTTGGTTACTCATCCGGTTGTTGAGCTTGGCGCTAACTGCTGTTTGAACACTGTAGGCATGAGGCGGCCTATCGATGATGAAATACCAGATCGTTCACATAGACAACCCAGCTACACGAGAGTGGCTGTCTTTTGGCTTTCTGACTCGAAACCTACGCCGGAGCGATGTAAATGCTTCAGAAAGCTGCAGTCCTGTCGGCTGCGTTGCGCGGAATAGTTCTCTGCTTTTCTGCACATGCCAGGCGTGGAAAGCGAAAAGCACGACATACGAAAGCACCATCTTCACAGTTCTTCCTGTTGGTTCGCCGGCGAACTGAACTTTCCGCACGATGTGGTGGCAACGCCCATGTTGCGCGGATAAAACTTGTTCTGCAAATGAGACAAGACTGAAAATTTCATAACTAGCGCTTGGCACTTCGCAAAAACATCGCGTGGACGACCCTGAAAGCCAACAAACATGTCGTGCGGAATAATTCACGGAACTATTCCGCGCAACACAACCAACATGTCTGCTGCATTCGCATCTCAAGCTTGGTCAGGTTCCAGGCGTCTTGGTTCGGAAGCGCTGCGCATCACTCACGGACAAAGCCTTGTCCACGGTTTGGCTGTGTCGCAGGGACAAAAGTCCGCATCTGGCATAATCTGGTGCCACGGTGCTTACATCAAACGAAATCTTCGTGATGCATCGGCAAGAAAAAAAGACCGGGGACCAGAGGTCGAAAGCCTTTGTCCCAAGATCGGTTCCTTCCATTTTGGCTGGTTTCTGATGTTTGTTCACGTGATTCTTCTGCAAGGTGCCAGTGGTAGATTTGGAAATTTCAGTCTCGTCAAATTTTACGAAAATACCCACGGCAATGCCATCAGATCCATGGACAGTTTCTGCTTTGTGTTTTGCATGCTCTTGGATCCACTTGGTCGAATGTGAGCACACGCGGAAAACCCTGAAGTCTTCCACCCACGTTTTCACTTTTTAGCTTCCTTACAAGGACGGTGTTTTCGTAAACCAAGCAACGGACAGGATCTCAAACAACGTGTCGACTGCGACAACGCGTTGTGGGTAAAAGTTCATTTAAGGCGAATGCCTGCATTCTTCGGGTCTTGGAGCAATTTGGAGTGGCGGGCCGGGGAGAACTCCTTTGCCAAAAAAATTAGGAGGCAGCCTCTGAAATAGGATACGATCGCTGATCCTGGAAGCCTTGGAAACCCACGGTGCAACATGCAGTTCGTGCAAGCGCGTGCGAAAATGATGACCATGACCAGGAATCGGGGCCTCGGGTTCAAACCCCTAAACCCCTAAACCCTAAACCCTAAATCATAGGGCTGCAAACTTTGCAGGTGGTGGCATTCCGAGCCTCAGCGACGGGCGCCGCCGCCACCAATGCCACAGCCCAGCCAGCATGCTCAGCTAGCAAGGTAATCCACATCTATATCTCCCTTGGGAATTATTTTGTATTTGTATTAAGGTTCTAAGGGGAACATAGACATTCCCTATTGAGATCGGAGCTCGATAGCAGCTGCCGGAACACGCAACCCATACGTGGACCACACTTGTATGTCTGATAGATGCTTAAGCCCCTGGTTTGCTTTTAGAATGAATTTTGCTTTCATCTTGGCCATCTGTTTAGGGTTTAGGGTTTAGGGTTTAGGGTTTAGGGTTTAGGGTTGGACAGAAGCAACGTTCGAGAAGCCTCATCAAGTCATCGTGAACTCTCAGACCTTGTGGTCGCTTAAACTCCGGAATGGTACCATAATCATAAT